CATAATCGGCTGACAGGAAACGTCTGCCAAAGATGGCGCTCGACAGATAGGGTTGAGACTTGAGGAGAGGTAGCATTTTCGCGCTTTTTCAATGACTATCTTGCGTTACATTATATTTCTGAGGTTTATTTGCCGAGGCTATAGAAAAAAATTACAGGATTGATTATTGAGGCGGTGCTGGCATTTCGATTCGTAGGTACTGTTTTCAGGCTGACTCGCACATTGCGCCATGGAAAAGAAATAATTGCTATCTTTCGCGAAAAATATTAAGTACAAAACACGTCAAAAACATCGTATATAAAAACTAACCACCTGCACTAAAAAAGCTGCGCTTTGACTTACATGCGCCACTTTCGAGCCACTTTGAATTTCGGCTGACGTGCTGCTGCCCTTTCCCAGCAGCCGGCTGTCAGCAGAGGTATGACGTCACAGCGCGAAAAGGTGTGATACGTCATCAAAAGCTCAACCAATCAGGGGCTTGGATCTCAGCTGACAACAGCATAACAGCCGATTCCGACCAGGCCTTATAATTTGACATTGGAACGTCTACTTAAAAATTTGACCTCAGGTCAAGGTCATGACCTGACCGGAAAAGGTCATGTTGCATATCAGTCGATCCGCAACGTCGATCCGAACACATCTAAGGTGTTTTCAGCGCTCTAGCACGCCTCTATCAGAAGTTATTAGCGAAAAACTGTTAGATTCTGTTCGTGACCTGAGATGACCTCGGGGACATAACGAGGGATCACAGTTGCCATTTTCTGGTTCAGTGTGTCAATTTTACCTACATCTCGATGTTTCAGAGTGTCTAGAATAGCGTTCGTGCAGAATAGACGCTTTTCAATTTTCTCCCATTGACTTATAATGGAGAGGCCGCAAAATTGACCTGACCTTAGGTCACCGATATCAAAATTCCGAGATATAACCACATTTTATAGATAATGCTGCTCTTATCAATCGCTGAAAGTTTCAAAGCAATCGTTCAGTCGGTGTAGCTATGACGAGCATTCTTATTTTTTCTGAGGTGAGGTCACTTGGCGTGACCTGGTGACCTGACCTAAGTCGACCTGGGTCTAAAATTTTCACAACATGTGCATAAAAGATTCACGAACAGGTGTGCCCAAAACGGCGGCGCGGGCGCCGCCGTTGTTGAGATATCTGCGAAAAACTGCATGGGGGGGGGGGGGTGTTCAAACACCCCAGGCCCGGCGCGAGTTAAAGTGCTACAACCTGACTTTACAGCTATATTTTGATGTTAACCGGCTCACAGAAAGAGGGAGACATCCACCGGCCGCGACGGTAATCGGTTATGCCTCTGTATTTGTGCGAAGACGTGAAAAAATCAGCGTGTCACCCAAAACAAAATGTTCAGAGTTTATTATGGCCGTTTTCACGACGGAACTTTCGCGGTGGAATCTATTTGATACCTGGAAAGTACTAAGTCAACCCCTTAAGGCCTTATAATCCTTACAACTAAAGTCTTTTGCCTTCAAAATATTTTTAAAAGTTGTAATCCAGGCGATTTTGACCGTCAAATCGCTTAAATCGCACCGCGAATGTTCTGTCGTGAAAACGGCCTATAGGTACTAATAGCTTTACTAACAGACTAATGTCGTTTTAATCCATAGCTTTTACTTCTCTTTATTTCTCGTGACTTTCCGGTATGCATAAATCGATAATTGATTACGATTTACGACCAATGTCGTAACTCCTAATGTTCCTTGCGGGTGTTCCTTGCGGTTTTCACACGGGACTCAGCCAAAAATCGTCGTAATAGGAGTAGTTAACTGAAATGGTTCATGTCTGAACTGGGATATTTTTGATTTTTTACATCAACCATCGTGTCGGGAGCTGTTCGAAATTTAATTCAAGGCCATAGCTCTTTAACCCTCGCCGGCCGAGGGGGGGGGGGGCGGGTGCCGCCCCCCCCCCATAGGGTTTTTTCGCGATAGCTCCGAACACGCTGGCGATAGAGAGCTGAAACTTGGCATACCTGACCTTTGATCCAAGCCGCATCTTTTGACACCAACCGCATTTTTGGGTCAGGTCAGGTCACTGATCTATGACGTCACAAGTGAACCTCTGCACGGTCTTCAGATGTCGCAACTTCGCAACGCCCTCACTGCCAGAGGAGATGTCACAGGGAAATGAAACTTGCAGGATCTAGTATCCATTATGAGTCTCACAACTTGTATATCTCGGATTTTTCCTAAAGGTCATATGAGGTTAGGTCATTTTCGTGACCTCACCATTATAAGTCAATGGGGAAAAATGAAAACTGCTATTCTGGCGCCGGGAACGATCTCCAACTATCTCAAGCACACAGAATCGTGATTTGATGCACTCCTTGCAAGGTCAGATGCGTCACTTTTGCAATGTTGACCTTGCGTGACGTCATTTATGACGTCATCAAGGTCATATTAGTTTTTCGTCAATAACTCTTGATCAAATTGAGCTAGCGAGTCGAGGAAGCCACCAATGGACTCAGGAAGACCTGCCGAATCGAATGATATGCGACATGACCTCTTTCGATCAACTTCGTGACCTGGGGGTGCTGACCTGACCTTGACCTGAGGTCAACACCCCAAGTTGACCTGACCCGAACAAAAAGTATATCATTCGACGCGCCTGAGCGAGACGAACACGATGCTGCCAAAATCGCGGCGCTGCGGCCGTTTTTTGCGAAGCTATTCACCAAAAACTGAACCGTACCTTGGGGCACTTGACCTGACCTCAGAGGTCACCGGTTGACCTAGGACCTTAAAATCGGGTACCAATCTCTGCGTCTCGTAACGGCGCACACGCTCGTTTTTTCCGCGACGCGCTAGCTCCACCACGGGCGAAACGGCGAGGGGGGGGGGTCGTACCCGCCCCCCCCCTCGGCCGGCGCGTATGTAGAAAACCAATAGGTCCGGCAAGGGTTAAAGTCACGGGTAATTTCAGTCTCCGGAATTGCAAATGGCATTGTTGTACATAACATTCCGTAGTAACCTTGAATTAAAGCAGATTTATTTGCACGCTGGACGTCGGACGATGAGAAAATCGGTTACGGTTTAAAAAATGTGTCCTGTTGACTGTACTCGTAGTCATGCAATAAGAAATGCTGGATGCACACACATTATACACATCCGTAATGCGCATTGCGTATTATACATTTGAGCCGTAAACGTTGTATGACATCCCCAAATCCATGCCGAGGAAATGAACTTCAACGATTTCAACGATAAGATATGTTTTAGAAAGTAAAAACAGATGGGCGAGAAGTAGAGCTAAAGCCGTATCATATCAACCATATTGGCACCGTCGGCAAAATAGTTGCGGCTTGGACTCGCCCATTTGACCCGGCATTCCTAATAACGATATGAAACATAGCTGGTGCATTCATCGCCTATATTTTCATGAGAGAAAAAAACGAGGATGGTAGACTTTCTATCCATGTTCCATTGTTCCATGCGCCTGTAACAATCTTCTGCGGACATTTGTTGTTGGTAACTCGAAGACATGCCAACCGTTATTTACGACATCGTAGCCATGAGCAGAACCATGGTAAAAACAAAACACCGAGCAGTCACATGTCACTCCGGCTTGAGATGAAATCCGACGGCTGCACTTTCGACCTTACCGAGGCATGACGACCTGTCTGGAGAGCCAAGCCGCCGCCCGCCACGGTGGCACCGTCAGCACACGGGGTTCGGCCCGCCTGCCTCTGCCACCGGTGGACGCGCTCAGCCGGAAAGTGAAATTGGCGGCGCGTCCCGCCATGACGCCGTCATCTCAGCCCGGTTTGCACGCTTCACTGGCCACGGGCGTCACGGAGAGCCGGTGCCGTGATCGCGGCTTGTCGGCGGTGTGCGGACCTGTGCAGGTTTCTCTGGCAGAAGGGGCCCTCGACCGCCCGGCCGAGTCGCTACTGTGCCCGGGATTCTGTATACCGGGCGGTCTCAGCACGCTTTGCGTTGAATGTCTTTGCGGCGGCCCCGATACTGGCTAGACCCAGCACACTGCACAGTAGGTATACATATAGTGCAGCACAGGGTTATGGTGACGTGTCCATGGATGCCGGACCCGGAGAAGCGGCAGCGCTCGAAAGTTCTTCATCACCGGTGATAATGATCTAGTGAGAGAGAACATGATAGGGAATAGTCGACGCCAACTAGCCAGTCTATTAGTGGGAAGTGAACCGGAGCAGCCAACTCGTAACGGGGCTGTTCACCAGCCGTTTCCTGGCCAGAGCTACTGATCAGTCCACCGGTTTCAGATCTATGGACATATAATTTGACTTTCACTGAAGCCCGCTTCGAGTAGAGCATGGATAATTGGCGCATCAAAAGCGACAGCTCTTATAATTAGCATTCCGACTGGAGGAGAAGCGAACGCCTACATACCTATATGCATTGATACATTTGTGTAGATAATATCCATGTTTTAATGTCATTAGCGTACTGTTACCATTACCATACCGTAGCCATTTTTGTGACAGGGTAAGTGCAGTTATGTTCGTGGTATTGGAACTCTGTAAAATGATGCGTTGTAGAGGCTATTTCACAGATTCAGCCCAGCCATTTTACATTTACAACTCTTCCTTTTAGCGCCCTACTGAGCCCCAAGACTATTGCTTGAAATAGAACAAGGATGCATGATTGGTAATCGGCGCTACAAATGCGTTACATTTGCTCTGCCATTCGTTCAGGTAATCCAAGGCTGAGGCCATCAAGTCAGTCTCCACCTTCTCACAAGACACAAGAAATAAGACAATTGATACGAGTCTTGCTTGAAAATACAAAAGCGTATATGACCTAATTTTCGCGCTGTGGCTATTTCCCGAGCCAATCCGCAGTAACAAATGTTAGGGCATTCACCTACATATGAGGTCAACGACTTACCTCCAGAGACGGGAACCCTTCTCGCTTATTTCTCGGTAAGCTCTCATTACTCTGTAATAGTATTCGCTATTTGTAACGCTTTTTCACTCCAGCGCTGGTTCATGCAGTAAGTCCAAAAAGTCGTCAAACCGTTTATTGTGGGAAGTATAGCCACACAGATAAAACAAGAAAATGGAGGCACAACTGTAGTGATAGCAAAGTCCAAGTTATACAAAATATATGTGTAATGTGTATCATGATAGGAAAACATCAGCAAATGAATCAGCTCTGGCCAAGCAAACTGATTATCTTCAACACCTGAGCACGGTTTGATATTCGATGTAGCCTAGTCAGATTGGCTTTGTTGATGCCTTCAATCAGCCTTATAATGACGATCGATGTAAAACAGGCCATTCATTGACCTTATACCATCGCGACACACTGTAAAAATCAATGAAGATCACGTCTTGCTAGACATTTAAACTAGCAGTGGAAGCCATTGTACAGCGCGAATACGATTCGAAATGGCATTTATCGATGTGCTATTGAGCGAATCATTACAAATCACTACAAATCACAGTCTCCACAGGTGAAATCACAGTTCTGTGACGTCACACTCGGGAGGACCAATCACAGGCAGTAATGGCAGCATAACAGTGAATCGACAGCTACACACGTTCAAGACCCCGCAGGAACGCAAACAACACCAAACGTTATCATACCACACCACATTGCTAACAAACCCTCTCTTTAGACTAGCAGACGGATTAGATAAGCTACAAAGCCGAACGGAAAGTGTTTCAGCTCGATCTAATCTCAATGATACTGCGCTTAAACACGAAGCTCAAACCTCAAAATCTCTGCGTCATGATGGCAACTGAAGAGATCAAGACCTGCCGATACAACGACTCAGGATTGGTGATGATCCGATATGTGATCACACTGTGAACTAGCTTCAGCTGTGAGCTAGCTTCTGCTTCAGCTTAGACAGCACAATGGAATGTCTGACTGTAACTCACAACCCAGACAGGAAACATTTCTGACTTGAATGCCTACAAGCATTATAGTTCATTGCTTTCCCCGACTAGTCAAAACAGCATGGTCAGCCTTTGTACCACCAGCGAATTGGGAGCTGGTTAGCATAACTTTCATAGTGACGCGAACTTCATGCTTATGGCTGACGTCATTCTGAACACCCAAAAATCTCCCTATTGATTTAAATCTCATCTACTGGTTTAAACCCAATTGGTTTATGAACACCAGCATGATAGCTGCCTCAGCACACAACACCTTTTCTACAAAAGCTATTCCTACAAAGGTGCCATCTAAAGTCTAAGCCAATTGCCAGCCGACAGGCTTTCAGGACGGTACTTGGAATTGGCTGTTCCCTGTAAAAAGGCAAGTGTTCAAACTAGATGCTTCGTAGTACCTACGAATCACGAACAGACACATGTCCGCCTCAAATCCTTATCACCAATCCCTATCGGCCACAGCAGCCCAGACCTCACCGAGCCACACGCCTAACTGTACCTTCTCAAACCGCTCACCAGATACCAGCACCAGTCACGTCCTCTGACGTTCATTTCCATCCCCGCCCTCCACGGCTCAGGTCCCGCTCTGGCCAGCACACGTTGTCGGCCCAACTCAGCCCAACTCAGCTGGTCTCAGCAGATGGGCGCGTAGTCCCTGAACCACGTGTTGGGGAACAGGTACTTTTGTATCTCGAAGCCGAGCCAGGGCACGGGCAGGTGGTGGGCGCCGAAGGGGCGCCGCTCCAGGGGCGCCGCCACCAGCCGCGCCGGGAAGCAGTGCAGCTGCGGGTCGGCCGTGTCACCGGTACACACGGCCGGGTGAGAGCGGTGCATCCAGCCGTCCCGACGGTACATCTGCGGACGGCGGTCAGTGGTCAGCGGTCCGTGGTCAGCGGTCAGCGGTCAGTGGTCAGAGGTCAGCGGTCAGTGTCAGCGTCAGAGGTCAGCGGTCAGCGGTCAGCGGTCAGCGGACAGCGGTCAGAGCTCAGCGGTCAGCGGTCAGCGGTCAGCGGTCAGCGTCATCGGTCATCGGGCGGCACAGGAGGACGGAGACACCTGCAGCCGCCAGTGACCAGTACTGAGGAATTGGGCCCAGCACTGGCAGAGATCACTGGTAGAAGCTGAGACAGATTGGGGACGGAGACCGATGCTGTAGCTATAATGGCAGTATCAAAATCCTACATTACATATGAATTGCTTCATTAAAAAGTAGCACAGAAAATCTTAGTCGCATCCAAACAAGGCTCATTGACTGTTGGTAACATAGTAAGTCTGGTATTACGCTACAGAAATTAAAAAACCTACACCAGTGGCATCCTGAATATGTCGAGAACCCAGATGACTATTCCCAAGTCCCTCGGCATATTTCTACATGTGCCGTTACCACACCCGCCCCGAGACGCGGCTGTATCGCACCTTATTGGCGGCATCTGGCGCGAAGAAGACGATCTGCACCAGCCCCGGAGTGCCGTCCGTACGGTAGACGTCGTATCTGCCCAGCCGGCCGTCCTGCTCGGCCAAGAACCCGGCGGCGTCCAGAGCCATCACCAGCCTGAGGGGGACGGAGCGTCCGTTAGAAGGGAAAAAGGGCACGCACGGGTGGGAAGAAATGCGAGGAAATAAATAAAAGCGTCACAGACACTATGCTCGTTTTGAGCAAAAGTCTGTGTCCTATAGCTCTTCCCAGCTGTCCTTTATCCCCTCAAGCTTTTCATCATTCTCTTCTCTCCGTTATCCATCCCCGGCACTGCATACTGCCGATCTCCAATACACGTTACACATTGCATCCCCATTTACGGCAGTCCCGAACTCTAATCAGGCCTCTCATTGATCATAATCCCAACACTACCCCGCACCACTAACCAGACTACATAGCCCTAACACCCGCCACTGCCCCGTACCACTACGCAGACTAGCCCTTGATGACACGCACCGGTCCTGGAGCCTGTCCGCCGCGCTGTCGTCCTGCTCACTGAGCACACACAGCTCAGCGTCCGCCTCCCACGGCGGGTTGCGGCGCTCGTGCACCTGGCCCCACAGACTGCCGTAGCACAGGAAGAAGCGCAGGCCCAGCTCATCCAGCACAGTCGCCACCGCTGCCGGCCGGACCAGGTGAGAAAAACGTAGCTTAGTGGCAGGACTGAGAGCCAGGGACGGACAAAACATAGAGTACTGCATCTGTAACGCCAAGTGCCGGCGGAAATCGTTGAATCATTTGTCTGTGAATGAACTTTGAGCAATATCGTGAGTTGTACTGTTTTGAAACACATTATGAATTGGCAACAACTAAAACAGTCAAAATCAAGATCTACAGGGCATCCAGACATACAGAAACAGTATTCAGTAAAATAAGCATACATATCATAGAACATTACAAACAAACAGACAAAGCAGCAAATGCTTGTTAAGTCCATGGGTGACTATTATTCACATCCATGGACCTAGATGCACCCAACTCTCCAGTGACTGAGCTCCCAGTTCCATCCAATTTCATGTGAGCACAATGCCAGTCACTTGTCGACAGAGGACATTTAATTCGCTCGCTCTCACCATGGGTCGATTCCTCCAGTTGATCTCGGTAGGCAAACACCCGTTTGCGGCATCCACGGCCCACAAACCGGGTACTGATGAGTGCGAGCACAATCACCAGCCACAGGAGCAGCATCAGCCGCAGTCCCAGTCGGCTCCTCATGCAGCTGGGCAGCATCCGCCACAGACTAGCCATCTGGTGGGTAAGTCGGGAGTTATGGACGGCTGAAACTTAGCTGGACCGGAATCTTAGCTATACAAGTTGCTTCTGTAATATCACACTCACTAATAATTGCGTTATCATCTAGTCACTGATGGATCCAGGGGCATGTGGAAAGTATTGGCCCCTTTTGCCCACTGCAAAGCCCAAATTCACAAAATATTATTTTCCTTGGTACCTACCTAGTCATGAAACAAGCATCGCCCCTTTCGGTAAATAGCTAGGTAAAGCAGTGTGACGGGCTGTAGTCTTGAAGCAATTGCCAGATTATGACATCACAAAAGTACAGCCCACCGCTAAAGGGTTTTAGGGTTTTACCAATCTCAACGATTTTATCGTAAATGTTCGTTCATTCCAAACCGGTTTCGTTTCATACAAGAAACATCACCAGTATAGCGAGGGGGTGAGTCTTGCACGTGCGAAATTTCGAGGGGGCACCTCCAACTGACTCGTGCACGGCACCCTAATGACCGGTTTCTAGCGATGTGCCAAATTTGAGCACAATCGGCCCAGCCGTTCTCGAGATCTGGGAGCGGCACCCTGCACGTGCGCACGTGCAAAATGGGTCCCAACTGACTTGTGCACGGCACCCTACTAACTGGTCCCTAACCGTGTACCAAATTTGAGCGCCATCGGTCCAGCCGTTCTCGAGATCTGGAAACGACCCCTGCACGTGCGCACGTGCAGCAGCACCCCAACTCTGGCACATGGATATGCAGTGCCTAGTGGGTGCCTACCTACATACCAACTTTCAGCGCAATCGGCCAAGTAGTTACCGAGATATTGCAACAATTACAAAACTGACACCTCTTCGTTTTGCACGTGGCACGTGCATAAGGGGTCACCTATATGCATCGGGAATGGTCCAATACTTGGTAGAAGGAATGAAGCTACCCTACAAAAATTACCGCGTGTAAATCGGTCAAGTGGTTGCTGAGATATAAGCCTCGCAAAAGCGTCCGCACGGCCGGCCGGCCGCTCATACTCAGAAATTTCCGTTAATCTAAGGAAAGACTTCGCTCGCTTCGCTCGCTCCGTAATCAGTGGTACACTTCACAAGTGTCAGTGGTAACGGACAAACAGCACAATAATAAATACACACATATACAGTTGGTACACACGCTAAACATACATGTGGTCCTACAGGGCGCGATCGATAAAAGGTCAATAACATGAAGAGCTACACATTGTAAGCAAGGTTACCTGACAACAGACAGGGGATATGCCGATGTTGTGCCATTAAGCCTTGGCTTCAGTTGATGGATGAAAAGTGATTCCAAGATCCTGAGAGAATGTGATGGCTCGCTGCCTAAAATGGTGAAATCGTTGAAGGAGACAGGGGTGTCACATGTGTGACTGTGATCGCGAATGGACGATTGTTTTGGAGTTGTTAGAATATTACCAGTGCGGTCAGAAATGCCCTTATGTTCACATACCCTGGTGTACAAGCGTACATAGGTGGAACCTATGTACGATTCCTCGCACGAGGAACAACGAAACTGGTACACTACACCAGAGCGGATGCACATAGGGACATTGTCTTTGAATTTAAAGAGACTTCCAATGGTAAATCTATTCCTGAGAACTATCTTGGGGCTTAGGTATGGGTGTACCAGTTTCGTTGTTCGTTGTTCGTACCAGTTTCGTTGTTCCTCGTGCGAGGAATCGTACATAGGTTCCACCTATGTACGCTTGTACACCAGGGTATGTGAACATAAGGGCATTTCTGACCGCACTGGTAATATTCTAACAACTCCAAAACAATCGTCCATTCGCGATCACAGTCACACATGTGACACCCCTGTCTCCTTCAACGATTTCACCATTTTAGGCAGCGAGCCATCACATTCTCTCAGGATCTTGGAATCACTTTTCATCCATCAACTGAAGCCAAGGCTTAATGGCACAACATCGGCATATCCCCTGTCTGTTGTCAGGTAATCTTGCTTACAATGTGTAGCTCTTCATGTTATTGACCTTTTATCGATCGCGCCCTGTAGGACCACATGTATGTTTAGCGTGTGCACCAACTGTATATGTGTGTATTTATTATTGTGCTGTTTGTCCGTTACCACTGACACTTGTGAAGTGTACCACTGATGATGTTTCTTGTATGAAACGAAACCGGTTTGGAATGAACGAACATTTACGATAAAATAGTTTATGACAAACTCAGTAACTTACTTGCTTGTGAGTTTTATACTGCTCCTAAGGTTACCAAGAGATTCCCATCTCAACGATTAGCTTTGACTGGCGATTGTTTAATGCGGAGTGATCGAAAAGAAGATGTCAATAGCTAAAATTGCAGCTGCAAGGGTGACGATACATATAATAAGCTACATTCAAAGTTTCATTGTAGTCTGGCTAAACGTTCCTAAGCTTCAGAAGCAGAACATACCCATGACTGAAAACCCACATTACTTCTGCTGTGGACTGTACCTACTATCGATGCAGCGTTTTCGATCGATGGGAGGAATTTGCCTGGCGGAGCGGGACGATCGTGCTTGACTTGGTGCCGATTTTTAGCTCCGTGTCGAGATGGAGATCGCGGATTCGAATTCCATTGGTGGCGATAAGTTGCCGGCGTTTCAACAATTTTCGGACTAAGTTTTGAGATCGCGGTTTCAAACTCACCGGCGAAACGGAATGATCTGTGCAAGCTGTCAAATTTTGAACTCTGTGGTGAGATAGCAGGTTCAAAGTCTGTCAAGCAAAACTAAATTCAAGCTTGAACATAATCTAACCAAACCTAATAACTATTCAAACCTACTGACCTAGCCTTTCCAAACCTAACCAAATCAAACTAAGCCAATTGGAACTTGACCCAACCTGACAAGTAGGTAACATGGCAGGTGAAAATGCAGATAGGCTAGGTTTGGTTAGGTTTAATGGGTCAAGGTATATGGTTAGGTGAGGCCGGTGAGGCATAGGCGCGGGAACCAGGGGCAGTGGGGGCAGCTTGCCCCCCCCCCCCCCAACTCTATGGCCGTGGGGGCGGCGCCCCCACACTTTGAGATGGAATACCATACTTTTTATGCAAATGTTTTCTTTTTGCTGTTGAAAAAGTCAGGGGATGAAAAATAAGTGGCCTAAAGTTTAGGCCACTAAAGTTAGGCCATACCCGGAGGCCGGAGGTGCTTCTTTCTAGGAAAACCTTAAAGTGACCATCCCACCTTAACATTAGTTTTGAGTTGAGATAGCCAAATTGGTGGCCATGGCCTGAAAATAACGGTTTGAGCACTCACAACATCGAAAAATACTTTAATTCGGAGATATGGAATTTTAAACTTGCAGTTTTTTATTCTAAGGGGCTAATGCATTGGAATGCCCCCTTCTTACCCTTAGAATTTTGTGCATCAGCGCAGATCTAACAATTTTAAATATTTTACTAAAACGTTTGGTAGCACGCTATGGTATATGCTGCTTTGCGCGATGTAACGGAAGTTGGCACAGATTCAGCACAGATTCAGCACAGCACAGATTCGGTAGGGGGAAAAAAGGCCCCGGTAGAGGGAAACCTTTATGACCCGTTTTCCCCTAGAAATGACGTCACAAAGAGGTAAAAATGGGTATCAATCGAAAGCTCTCGTTTACCCAGACACAGTCCTGCAGGAAAATTCCACTTTTTCCCCATAGGAAAGTTTTTACGGGAAAATCAAAATTTCGGGTCAATGGGGGGTCCCCCCCGATTTCGTTCAAAATCGGCACACAGGTGCCCCACCACCAGCCGAGAAACTTTCCCCAAAACGGTCCCCGTTGCATTGACGTTTAAGGCCCGTAAAGCCCCCTAGACTCGTAAAATATCCGTAAAATCGCCTTTGTACGGACAAAAAAGTGGTGCTATGGTAAAAATGGGTATCAATCGAAAGCTCTCGTTTACCCAGACACAGTCCTGCAGGAAAATTCCACTTTTTCCCATAGGAAAGTTTTTACGGGAAAATCAAAATTTTGGGTCAATGGGGGGTCCCCCCCGATTTCGTTCAAAATCGGCACACAGGTGCCCCACCACCAGCCGAGAAACTTTCCCCAAAACGGTCCCCGTTGCATTGACGTTTAAGGCCCTTAAAGCCCCGTAAACTCGTAAAAAATCCGTAAATTCGCCCTTGTACGGCCAAAAACGGGGCGCTAGGGTAAAAATGGGTATCAATCGAAAGCTCTCGTTTACCCAGACACAGTCCTGCAGGAAAATTCCACTTTTTCCCCATAGGAAAGTTTTTACGGGAAAATCAAAATTTCGGGTCAATGGGGGGTCCCCCCCGATTTCGTTCAAAATCGGCACACAGGTGCCCCACCACCAGCCGAGAAACTTTCCCCAAAACGGTCCCCGTTGCATTGACTTTTAAGGCCCTTAAAGCCCCGTAAACTCGTAAAAAATCCGTAAATTCGCCCTTGTACGGCCAAAAACGGGGCGCTAGGGTAAAAATGGGTATCAATCGAAAGCTCTCGTTTACCCAGACACAGTCCTGCAGGAAAATTCCACTTTTTCCCCATAGGAAAGTTTTTACGGGAAAATCAAAATTTTGGGTCAATGGGGGGTCCCCCCCGATTTCGTTCAAAATCGGCACACAGGTGCCCCACCACCAGCCGAGAAACTTTCCCCAAAACGGTCCCCGTTGCATTGACGTTTAAGGCCCTTAAAGCCCCGTAAACTCGTAAAAAATCCGTAAATTCGCCCTTGTACGGCCAAAAACGGGGCGCTAGGGTAAAAATGGGTATCAATCGAAAGCTCTCGTTTACCCAGACACAGTCCTGCAGGAAAATTCCACTTTTTCCCCATAGGAAAGTTTTTACGGGAAAATCAAAATTTCGGGTCAATGGGGGGTCCCCCCCGATTTCGTTCAAAATCGGCACACAGGTGCCCCACCACCAGCCGAGAAACTTTCCCCAAAACGGTCCCCGTTGCATTGACGTTTAAGGCCCTTAAAGCCCCGTAAACTCGTAAAAAATCCGTAAATTCGCCCTTGTACGGCCAAAAA